AGTGAAAAAGTACCCTATATTCGCCGGCAACTGCTGTACCTTATGGTTGTCTGATGAGAGCAAGATCCGGCTCATTTGAAAGGTGTGGTTTCCGTCTTTCATTTGATGTGTGGTAGGTCTGCTAACCATGCGGTAGATTGCGTATAAAGCCTCTGGGCAGTAGTGCTTGTTTCCAGCTGTCCAGAATATTTTTTGACTCTGCTTGAGAGAAAAAATTACTGTCGCAAAAATAAGCAAAAATTTGCTCCCACTAATTATGTGCCACCGTAATAGTGAAACCGTTGTTTTTCTAGCACTTCCCATCCCATTGTCAGTGGAGGTATTCCCTTGGGGTGCTCACCTCCACACCCACTACAAAGGATCTGACCCGGGAAGAACAGATAGCTACTGCTGTAGCTTCTCGGACGTCTGTTTTTTTGCCAGGTAGTGCGTCGTGCTGACTTCGTTCTACTGCTGTCTCGCTCGTGTATTGGTGCTCACCGCCTAGGTGACGGAGAGGGGGAATACTTGGGACAGACAGCAGCCCCGAAAACCCATCGAAATCTACGAGTTCGAGGGCTGTCCATTCTGCCGGAAAGTGCGGGAGGCAATCAACATCGTGGATATCGACGTCATCTTTTATCCTTGCCCCCAGGGTGAGCACGAAATTCATGAATTCCTTTCGGGATCGGGGGCTTGTCGAGGCTACCGGTCTGGTCAGGGGTAAGCCATGTCGCTAATATAGACGTTTTCCCGTCCTCCGACAACCGTGCGCTCATTACACTTCCCCAACTAACGTATCAATTAGAATGATGTTGCAAGCTTCTCGTGCTCCTCTTTGGCGCATAGCCGTGTGTTGATTTTTTGTGGCTAGCCGTGGTTTTGCCATGAGCACTGCTCGAACTTGGAGTGTTTAATAGACATCAGCAAGGCGATAGATGATGTATATACCCGCAAGAGAACATTGGTCTCCGCTGTGGGGTAACGGCTGACGATACGACATGTTTCACAGCACAAACCACATCCGAAACACTCGAAAATCGTGTTGGTTTGACGTGACTGATACGCACCTTCGCATGGGAAGGGCCTGTATTTTCTGTTACTGCCCGCCGTATGCTATTATGGTGATATTATACACATCGCAAGACAATCTCAAGTTATGTCCAGCGACGGGTATTTTCCGTTTTTTGGACGTCGTAACACGTCTGCATGATTCGAGTCTGTGGGCACTTCTTCCTTGAGTTTCAAATTGATCCACGTCACGATGCGTGTTCCTATGCATGTTCCCATACACAAATTCACCGCTCCGCCGAACCAGGAGGACCGACGTTCCGCCCTAAGGCGAAAGAAATGGGCACCACCGCCTTCCCCTACATGGTGGACCCCAACACGAAGACTTCTATGCCGGAGAGTGACGAAATCGTCAAGTATCTTTTCGAGACGTACGGCGAAGGAGCAAAGGTGGACATTTCATTTTGGCTCGTTTCTAGCCGACTAGGCTTGGGTTTTGTTTTCGTCCCACCACCTGCCCTTTCGGCGATGCTAAAAAGCCCGCGAGGGTCCACCTGTTCTTCTTGTTGCTTTGCGAAGGTTCCCGTGTTTCTGGGTCGCGTCTAGCGTGTACGAAATCATTGTTGCCCCAACATTAGACGTTCGTTGAACTGATGGACGCACGCTCGGTATTGTGCTGCTTAGACCATTTGGCGGCGACATCGTGTTTTTTCTGCTGATGCTCATATCGGAAATTCCTAGTAGCCACCGTGGAATTCGTGTGCGATTTTCTCATCTCCAACCCATCGACAACCCGCGTCTCGTTTTTGAAAACAGGTGCCTTTCCAACTGTCCCTTGGGTTTGGCACGACGTTATCGGCCGGTCTTGGGATGCTACCCCGGGGCCTGAAGGGTTCCAAGTATACCCCGGTGAGCTGATGCTGACGCAGCAAATTGTTTTCGTGTGCGGGCACCCTTGATTTGTCGTTTTTCTATCTACATCGTAGTCTCTCCGAGACTCGAATGACCTATTTGCTTTTGAAACTGTAACAAGTCTTGGGTAACTATTTTCTAATTTCACTGGTTGGTTCTTCAAGGGACAAATTTACCTTGCACGTTCCAGCCGTTTTTGTCGGGCTGGCTATCCATCGCCACCCCACCCCCACCCCCGATTATGAGGTGCCTCCCTCCGACTTGCGATATACCACGAAGGGCTCATAACGCAGGTGGTCCTTTTCTGCAGGAGCTGCATACTGCCGCAATAAGACAACTTCTCGCGTGAAAAATAACGTTGCTCGGTCCTTCAGAAGTAGTGTGAAGCTCCCCTATGCCTTCACACACAGGCCAAACCATCCTGATGTATCCCTTCTTCTTGTCTTCCCCCGCACGCCCTGGGTGCAGGCCAAGATGCCAAAGAAGCCTCTGGAACTGTGGGGATACGAGGCCTCACCTTTCACCAAGGTATCGCATTTCTTTGTTCGCACGGAATCCGCCGGTATGTCTGCTTTTTTCGACACCCTTCTTGCGGTCTCTCACACTATCGACGTGTTGGTGAATGTCTTCTGGTGGAATTTTCGCTTCCGCGTAGTGTCGAGTTTGCAGGAGATGCTTGCGATCTATCTTTGCCCAGCACTGAGCTCGTTTTTCGGGTTGGAAGGCGACCCTCGATACACTGTCGCTACCGCCACTTCCCTTCGACAAGACTACCTTCACAACGTAGTTGTCTTTCGTTTCGGAAAGGTAGCTAAATCTCGCCACTCCCTCCTGCTCACGAAAATATCTTGATAGGTCGTTCGCGAGAAGCTGAGCGAATTGGAGATCCCGCACAAGTTTGTCTCTTCCGCGAGAGGTAGCCCGAAGGTATCTGCGGGGGTGTCAGTCGATCGCCTATAGTAGGTCTTACATGTTAGGCGTGCTTTCACGACGTGGACAAGAGGGCATCGTTTTTCAAGAAACCGTTGGTAGGCTCAGGCGTCGGCTCCGGCTCAGGGGCCGGCTCGGGGGGGTGAGCCACTTGAGATGCAATGCCAACGCAAGAGTCGAGAGGTTCGACTGTAGTTGCGAACCGCTTGTACTCTTGGCCCCGTGCGCATCACGTTTTTCAGATAGACGCGTCCGAGGAGCCTTAACCGTGTCCAGACGTTTGTGTTATCCATCGATTTGAACGACGGTATTCCCAACCGCGTCTTGACTTCTCCATGAGTGCTCGCCGAGAGCATGATCTGAAAGTGAAGACCGAAGTGTATTTAATGGCCTCCCGGCTCACGACGTTTTCAACGTTTTTCTGGGTATGCGGCGCCCAAAGCATCATGAGTGTCCAACAACACGCGCTGCATGACTGTCTGGCAGCCCTGATCCGATGCTCGTGTCCTCTCTCTCTCTCTCTCTCTCTCTCTCTCTCTCTCTCTCTC